TTTATTTATTTGATAGAGAGAGACACAGCGACAGAGGGAACACAAGCAGGGGGAGTGCGAGAGGGAGAAGCAGGCTTCCCACGGAGCAGGGAGCCCGATGCGGGGCTCGATCCCAGGACTCCCGGATCATGACCTGAGCTGAAGGCAGATGCTTAACGACTGAGCCACCCAGGTCCCCCCACCACTTGCCTAGTTTTGATTCTGTCGTCTTGTGCATTATTTATTACCTCTAGTTTTGTGTCATCTGAAATTTGATAAGCATGCCTTCTGTCTCCTCTAAGCAGTTGTCAAAAAGCATTAGAATGTGTGAAAAGAATAAGAACACCAACTCCAGTAAATTATAGTTTACATGCCTTCCTGCTTGAGTTCTGAAGGACTGTTTTTAGGAAAATAGATTTTATTGAGCCTAATACATTTATAAATTCATTTTTCCCACAAATATTTATTGAAAATTCCCAAGGCACAATACCATATTACATACTTCAGAGACATACAAGAAGCATAAAAACATGATCTTAAACCTTTAAGAGCTTACAACCTCCCTGGGAAAACAAGACATCCAAAATTGAAGCTACGACAAGGGCACATGAAAGGCATAGACAAGAAAGTGCTATAGGAATTGGGGGAAAGAGATATCACTGTGGCTGATGGGTGTGAAAGAGAGCTGCTTGGAAGTGAATGGACTTGGTTTAGGCCTTGAATAATTTTTAGGATGTGAATAATTGGAAGGAGAGAATGAGAATTCTAAGGAAAAGTACGTGCAAAAGCCAGACACATGTTCCAGGGATAATAGATCAATTCAATGCACACACATATTGGTTAAGATAACTCTAGCTGCTACCACAAACAACCCCAACAAATATAGTGGCATAAAATTGGTATAAGTTTATCTCTTGTTCGCTTAAAGTCTAACACAGATGGTCCTGATTGGTTCCTGACCCTTCTCCCAGAAATCTGCAGGGATCCAGCCTTCTTCCATTTTGTGGCTCCAACACTTCAAAATATGGCACCCAAGCTCACCATGCTCACCTTCCTAAAGCTGAAAGAAAGGGAAAGAACATACAGCACCATGTGTGAGAGGCTTAATGGGCCAGGCCAGGAAGTGATGCATGTCATCCCTGCTCACATTCCTCTGGCTGGAACTCAGTCACACAGCTACAATAATCACAGGGAAGAGCTGAGAAATACAGTCTTCTGTGGGCCCAGGAAGAAGAGGCAACAGGTCACAGAAACAGCCAACAGGGTTCTGCCCTAGAGTACAATGGGAAAAATGGGAAATAAAGGTAGGAACGTAGGTTAAGCTTTCCTCACTTGAACAATGAAGAGACAAATGGTGTGGAGAGGGAGTGTAGTCTCTAGAGCCAAACTGTGGGTGGAAGCATGGCTCTGCTGTTTTCTCGTATGATCTTAGACCTGTTTCTGAAAAGCTCTTTGCCTCAGTTTCATCCTCATCTGTAAAACGGGAAACGATGAATCCGTTATCATAGGGTTACTGTGAAGGTTAAGTTAGTAATACAAGGTGCTTAGAAAAGTGCCCAGAATAGTACCTAGCAACTAGTTCAATAAATATTATCCATTGACAGTTTGTGAATAGAAGGCTCTGAATGTGACTTCCTACTAAAGGTCAAACCACATATCCACATTCACCGAATTATCAGACTCATACAGGTATCCTAATGCTTTCCAACAGAACCTATGGCTTTCCTAGACTGACAGACCAAATCTCACCCACAGATGTAGACAGACCAAATCTCACCCACAGATGTAATCATAGATTCAATACATATTTGTTAAACCCTTGCTACATGCTACGTACTGTGCTAGGCACTGGGGATGCAGTCGTGAATGACAACATAGGGTTTATTTATTTATTTATTTAGAGCACACATGCATGGGGGTGGGGCAGAGAGAGAGGGAGAAGAATCCCAAGCAGGCTCCATGCTCAGCAGGGAGGCCAATGCGGGGTTCGATCTCATGACCTAGAGATCATGACCTGAGCCAAAATCAAGAGTTGGATGCTTAATCAACTGAGCCACCCAGGTGCCCCAATAATGTAGGGTTTATTATGGTCAAATTGCTCTTTTGCTCTTCCACACATTTTAAGATCTTTATAACCAATTCCCTGTTTAAATTTCCTCCATTTGAAAGACCTAGAGCTGTTTCTATTCTCCTGGGTGGACACTGATACAAAGGCAACTTTTCTTTTCCATTGATAATATTGCTGGTACTTATATTTGGAGTCAATTTTAGATAGCAATTATTTCAGGATTAAAATAGACATTCCTGCCTTAGTCCTTTCTTACTCTATTTTTAGAAGATTAAAGATTTACTTTCATTGGGGAATGGGTGTTTGGGGGTGGGGGTGGGAATCCTAAAAGAGAATGAGGGGGTCAAGTGTGTCCTCATCCATCTCAGTGCTAGAAATACTGGATCAAGTAAGTACCATAAGTATGCATTCTGACAATAAGTCCTGAGTGTTTCCACATAACAATCATTAAATATGATGCAAAAACAATTTATAGTGGAAGACACCCATTGTTACAGAGTTTCATTGACATCCAAGGAGTAAATGATGTTTCGTTGAATGCGCAGGCAATAGGTTATAGACTAGAAGATGGTTTCGGGGTAGTCAGGGCTCTGGTTTCTAAAGTCAAGATGTGTAGCCTCCTAACTTCAGTTTCTTCAAATTTCATCTGGGAATTCATTCACTAAACAAATATTTATCAAGAACCTACAATGTATATGGTAGAAGAATATATATAAGCAGTAACTAAGGCATGATAAACCTGACTTTGGCTCCTGGCCTTCCTGCGTTCTAGTTGTGTAAACTTGGTGTGCCCTAGACCCATGCTTCACCATTTTCTGTCTTGCTCGAAGTCCGGGAGGACTGATCTTCATGGACTGCACCACCTGGGATCCCATTATTGTTGACTTTGGCCAATGGGAGGCAATTACCAGAGACTGGAGGGTAAGAGGGGAGAAAGAGGTCAACATATTTATTCCTCTCACTCCTTTTCTACTTTTTCATGGTTCTACAACATCCACACCCTTCTATAGTCATAGCTTCTGTCTGGTGGCCCCTTTTGGGTGATTCCAGCTTCTGGCTGGGTTCTGATAACTACTTACATGGAAGTAATAAACAGCACACATTCCAAAACCCAGTTTTAAATACATGACATTGAATATTTTTTAAAAAGTAAGCTGCCAAAGGGGCGCCTGGGTGGCTCAGTCAGTTAAGCGATTGTCTTCGGCTCAGCATTGGCCACTCCCCCTGCTTGTGTTCCCTCTCACGCTGTGTCTCTCTCTGTCAAATAAATAAATAAAATCTTAAAAAAAAAGATGCCAAAAAAAGGTCAATTCAGCATTTTCAGAAAGAGTGTTTAGCAATATTCAATGTATAAGGAGGCTGTGTTTAGGGCCATCCACTTTCTCCGGTTTCTCAAAGTGTTTCCTGGCATTGGAATGTTATCAGAGTAGCTGTAGAAGGTCCTGGTAGATCCAACATAATAACCATCACAGGTGTGTTTAATGTAAAGATGTCAATGAAAGCAGCAAAGTTAGAATTCCTAACCCCCATGTTTTGGAAGGAAGCCGCTGATTTGCTGTAGGTCAGCTGAACTGCTTAATGGTGTTCCTCAAATTACCTACATCTGGGGGTGGCAATGGCTTCCTGTTTTTGCTAGTCTCTGGGTACCTCCACATCCCTTGCTCATTGTCTTTACCCTGCCCATACCTCTAAAAACATTCTCTTCAAAATTCGTAGTTGAGCATGCCATTTGTTTTTCACCAGGGAGCTTACTTGGGTGACTCACTTAAATTTATATGTAAATGAGAGCTATATGTAAAGTGGGAGTTATAATACCTTAATCTCTAGGTTGTTTTGAGGCTGAAATGTGATAGCATGGACAAAGGTTCTTATTGTGCCCGGCACCATGAAGTCTTCAATTAATGATAACCCCTAATATTAATAGTGTTGTGCTCTTGTACCAGGCACTGTGATGAATACCAAAGTTTCCATCTGCCTGTGTGTAAAATGCCCATTTCCACCATGCAGCACACCCAAGTCCTTCAAATGAGATAACATACAAAGTCTTACCTCAGTAACAGGGATGCCATAAGTGCTCAATAAGTGCTCTTGGCTCTTCAAAGCTCAGCTTTTTCTTCTCCCTACCCCCACCCATACAAGGAACATTTCCCCTCTCTAGACCTCTATATCCCCTTCTGTTCCTCTTTATGCTGCTTATTATTTTCTCCTAGCAGTGTAATAACCCATTGATGCCAGTATCATCTACTTCATTACAACCACATTAGTGGCTAATGAGATAATCAAAGTATCCTGAACAGTACAGAATACTACATAAATGTATCGAGTCTGAACAAGTTGTGAAGTTCTGTGATGATCTGCAAAGGTTACTGTGGCCCTGACATTTTAGAATTGGTTTTTTTTTTCAGTTTCTTGGAGCTTTTAGCAACACTGTCTTTCCAGAACTATTTTGTATAGTTCTTTCTTACTTAAAGGTATGTTTGTGGGGCAGAAATAGATTGTGGGAAAAACCTTTTCAAATTTTAGGTAATCTAAGTGTTGAAGAAAAGAAAAACCTTTCTCTGTAGTTGAAACTGGTGTGTGTGTGTGTGTACATGCTCCTGGGCTTTGATAAGCCCCCTTCATTTCTTTATGAAATGAAGTTGCTTCATTTCCTTATGAAAAACAATGAACTGCCAGGGTTGTCATTCCAGGGAATTGTCATGTTTGCTCTTGTGGTAACAGTCCACATGGTTTTAGCCTGGCATCAGAGCACGCATGTCCTGGGAATCCTCCTGCCTGCTTCCCCCTCTGCATCAGTGGTGCTGCTCTCCCCGGGCTGCTGCTGCTTCTTCTTTCCCTTCTCCTCCTCCGCTCCTCTTCCCCCTTCCCTTCCTCCATCCCACTGCTTTTATAGATTTTATTTATTTGAGAGAGAGCGTGAGCGCGCATGATCGGGGGAGGGGGCAGTGGGAGAGGGAGAAGCAGGCCTCCGCGGAGCAAGGAGCCTGACGCGGGACTCGATCCCAGGACCCCAGGACCATGACCTGAGCCGAAGGCAGACGCTTAACTGACTGAGCCACCCAGGCACCCCTTGTCCCACTGCTTTTAAAATGTTAGTGTTTCCCAGAGCTATCTAGCCTCATTCTCTTTTCCTCCAACTTTACATGTTTCCTCCTGTGGGTGAACTAATCTAGGCCCATGACTCAAATACCTTCTCAATGCCCATGATGCCCAGACTTTCATTTCTGGTCTGGCAATCTCCCCAGTGCATCAGAGCTGCCTAGAAGACACCCCTGTTTGGCTGTCCCACAGAAACTCCAAAGTCAATATGCCCACAGGAACACATCCTGTTCCTCCCAGGATCCTTTTCCCCTTCCATTCACTCCCAGGATCCTTCTCTCCTTCCATTCCATTGAGAGCTGCTCAAGCCAGTAATCTGAACATTATCTTTAGCTTAGCTTTCTCCTTTGCTTCCGCATTTAATCAATCATCATGTCCTGACAGATAATCTTCCTACAAAGGCTCAAATCCATCCATGTCTCTCCAACTACTCTGCCACTACCTAGTCCAGAATATAATTACTGGTCTCCTGGATTATTGCAACAGCCCTCCTATCCAGAGTAGTATTTCTAAACTGCAAATCTGACCATGACACTCTCTTGCTTAAATCCTCCAGTGGCTTCTCCTATGCTCAGAATGCAGTGCAAATGTCTTATCATGGCCTGCAAGACACCCCTTCACATCCTCATTCTGGTCACTTCCCCATCGTTTGTCTTACATGGACCTCTGCACATGGTGTTCTATCACCTGGAATGTGCTTGATCCCATTCCTGCTTGAGTAACTCCTAGGACTCCTTTAAGACTCAGTGAAAGTATCACCCCTTCTAAGAAGACTTCCCCAAGTCCCTTAAGCTGGATGTGGTGGACCTGTATCCATTTTCACTCCCATCACAGTGCTGTATTACTTGCTAGTTGAGGTGCTCCTGGCAGACAGACATATCTTTTTATCACTG